AGCTTTGATCGCTTGCTGTAGTTGTTCATACTTGGGACCTCGAAGGTAGCGTTCAAACTTTATTTTCACCATGACTCCGGTGCTTTTGAGCAATCGACAGCTTGGTGATTGGTGTAACCTATCACCGATTGATCGTTTACCTTCAAAACGGAGAAAAGTTTTAACCATAAAATATTTTTCAAACTATAATATTTCGGTATAAATACCATTATGTATAGGGTGTCTAAAATAAGTGCAAGTATTTCAACCCCAAAAATACGCCAATGTTTTTTTTGCAATTGTTGAAAATTTGCTGACATTTTCCAGGAAATTACATTACAATACAAAATATCTTTATTACATAAACGATCCTATTCAAATTGAAATGTTAAAGATGGCGACGTTCGCATTTTGTCCTCTATCTCACGTAAAGAACTCATATAACTCAACTCGTTTTTTAGATTTTTGAATTACGCCACTTGAGACTTTCCTACAGGCAAAACTTTTATCTCAAGAAGTGCTATAACTCTATCTATCATGGTATAGAGGCAGTGATAGTATTTGTATTCGATGTATCTTACAATAATTACAATTTTAATACAGAAAATTATTTTATTTTGTTCTGTTCTGACAAATTTACTAAAATGCAAATTAGTCCAATAGGTGAGGTAACAAAAAACGTATTTTCAAGAAAAGAAGTAGAAAACAAATATGAATAATTCAAGAACTATAAAAATAAAATTATTGAATTACGTTGTTCAATAATTACTTACAAAAGATATAAAATCAAAAAAGTGAAAAAAAAAGTGTGTGAGCAATATGTGTCCATATAATTGAAGTAAACTTCTTACTAACAGCTATTAAATTGAAGAATTTGAAAAAATATATATTTTTTATGAATAATTTTTATAAACTTCCAAAAAATTAGAGTTAATATAAAACCGTATACTATTCTAGCTTTATAATTTTATGTTTTTTTTTTAATTTTTATTAAAAACGATAATTCTATCACCCGACCGGATAGCCCCGACAGCTGTGGCCATTAAACCAAAATACTATTACATCTATATCTCTGACTACTACTAAGTGCTACTAACCAACAATTTGTTTTGTGTGATCTGTAGTCTGTTTTTGTTTAAATGTTTTGTTCATTATTCATGTTGGGAATTTATTGTTAAATTAATGTTAATCGTTAGGTAACCAGTAAACTCATAGAATATGTATGTATTCTTTTGCATAATCAAAATTGTCACTCTCAATTCTATATAACAAAATTGCCACTATAAATCGCTATCTTCTTTAGACAAATGTCACTTGTTTTGTTATTATTCAATTTATTATTCGAATTCTCAGAAGGTTGTTAACAAAAGTTTCATCCTAAATAAAATTTTAATTAATCACAATTGTTTATCTCCATCATTTACCGGATTAATAATACAGAAATTACAGTTCGATTACAAACAATTCATTATTTGTAGTGATTTACAGTAATTTTATTAAATTATACGAATATTCTGGTTGATTATTGGTATGAAGTAAATATGAGTGTTCTCCAAACATTGATCATTATGTTTATAAACATTAGTTTTTCTACACACTACGCTGCAACTAGGGTTCAGAACTAATTCCCGGTTCTTACAATTAATCAATAATACATGTCTAAATGGATAACCTCCCGTTCTTTTATTATATCTTGTAATATGGTTCATCAATTATTCATCAAAAAACATTTTGCATTTGATTGACTATTTATTTTTCTACCCGAAGAAGATGTAAATCTTGAAAACGCTCTTTTTTAATCAAGTCCCATATCTAAGCGTTTCTAGACTCGACCATAAATTTTAAATACATGAATGCAAAACGTATGGAACTTTTCTTCATTTAGTTTTAAAATATTCACCCCTGGCATGAAAATATCGTGGAAAATGTTTTTTTTTTCCGATAGAAATTTTATATAGGCTAATTAGTACATCTTTTTAAATGTATACCGAGTCGGCATTTTTGGTTTGGCGCTATTAAACCACTATTTAAGACAAACGCGTCAACAATCTTTTGTAATATTATTGTTTACTCTGGGTACAGTCGACCGCAGCCAACCGAACCTATGTTGTCACGTCTTTAATATTATCAATATTTTTTTACTTATTATACACATATATTGAAATATTAATACAGCATTTTAATAAAGTAGGTTTTAATATCCCATATATGTATTAAATAGTCCTTATACTACTAAATTATAAGTCGAATACTATGTAAAAAGGATAAATCCTTTACAATATGGCAACACCAATTAGAAGCGAGGTCGTCTATTCATTATCTTGTAGTACGCATCGCACGTGTGTAGTAAAACATTGTTGCCGCTACTTCCCTCTGGCTGTATTATCGCATTTTCTTAGTTTGTAGCCCTTAAGTGTTTATTTTATTTACTTTTTGTATTCATGAACTATAAAATATGGTTTGCCAGTGCCAAATTTGCACGAAATTTGACTTAAATAATCCTTTTAAGTCTTGAAACGACTTTCGACCGGTAGGCAACTCTCAACTTACCAAATGGGAGTCAGTGGCGTTGTTGTAGAAAGGCGCTTATTTAGATAATATTATGGTATTTTTTAATATTTTGGTATTTAATAATAGAAAAAATAGAAAAGTGATAGGGCGGAGGACCTTCCGATTAAAATTAACAGCTCATTCTTAGAGATAATTTTTTTGAGGTGTCTACCAACATTTTTTCAGAGTACAAAGTAAAAAAATTTGTCGATTTTTTTGACCCACTCTAAAACGTATCAAATTTTGTGCATTTTTTAAAAAGGAACATCAAGTTTAAAGCATTTTAAAACACTAATCGACGTATACGGGCATTTTTTCGAAAAAACAAATATCTTTAATTTACTGAATTAATTCCAAGCTAGAAAATCACCCTAGGGAACGACTTTATGGTCTTTAACTTTTTAATTAAGCTAAACTTGTTGGAAATTTACGTCAAGCGTCGCCGCTTTAAAATTTGGAACTGTTCCAGCATGCGAAATGCCGATAAGTTTTTACGAGCAACGTAATATCAGTTAGTGGATCATAAAGTGGTTTACACGAAACGCTTTGATGCATTGTTTCGCACTCAGTCAAACTGTTTTTGAGTGGTGTTGTTTTGAAGTACTCTATAAAAAGCTAGCGAAATATTGCGTACGATGTAGTGTGTTTGTGCTATAAAACTCAGTATTTTTTTGAGCATGCTATTGAGTAATTAAATTAAAATTAAAAGGTCAGTATAACATTAATTAATATAGTATTAATATTGCATATCGTATTAATTTTTCTAAAAAAAAGACAAAAATTGAATTACTTGCAAATTTTTAAGTATAATAAGTAGGGTGCACCAAAAAAATAAATATTTTTTTCTTTTTAGTTACGTGAAAATATCGTTTAGGACGATAAAAAAAAATCTGGTAAAATTTGAGCTTTTAATATTAATATTAAGAGGTGCCTCATCGTGATTTTCTATTTCCCCATTTAAATAACATCGGGAAACAAATTTTTCCTTTCTTCTTCGGGATTTCATTGCGTTATAACAAATCAGCGTTTTGTAAAAATGAATACATATTCTTGAAATTGAATGGTCTTTAAAACAGGTCATTTTTTCAACAAATCGCAATAATGTCACGTTAAAATTAAGTTATTGTTATGTTAAGCTCTGCCACAATTTCCTTCTAGATTTAATACCTTTAAACAACTATCAGTATGTAAAACTTGAAAAATAAGTTCGTTATAATAATGGTTTTATTATTCACTATTCTAATAAAAATACGCATTCCCTCGGAAACTCTCTATTTAATTATCTAGTAATGCTAAAAACACTCTATTTGAAAGCCGATTAGAGAAAATAGTATGATTCATTGGCAAGCGATGTAAATATTTGGGATCAGGTAAAATTGTGATACAAGAGGACAACAACACAAGGAGAACTGAGCTTGCCGGCCAGTCAGTAGTAGACGGACCGACCGGCTGTAGAGTAGTGTTGTGTTGTGTTTTGTCACAGAGCTGACATTTCGAGGTTGCGAGTCTCTTGACTATTAAGGTTGCGAGTCTTTTGACTATTAAGGATGCCAGTCTTTTGACTATTAAGGATGCGAGTCTTTTTGACTACTAAGGTTGCGAGTCTTTTGACTATTAAGAGATGCGAGTCTTTTGACTATTAAGGATGTGAGTCTTTTGACTACTAAGGTTGCGAGCCTGTTGACTATTAAGAATTGCGAGTCTTTTGACTAATAAGGTTGGGAGTCTTTTGACTATTAAGGTTGCGGTCGTTTGACCCTTGAGAAAACCTCGTGACGTCTTTCTTCGTGTCTTGAGAGTTTGAGGTCTCTCATGCTTCTCGAATTGATGATGGGGCGTTGGGGTAGTGAAGTACTCCAATTAGCCTTATCGATTGGAATGCGAATTTGTTTAGCGGCAGATTTGCGTCCGGAGGAAGCCCCTATACTTATTTCAGGTGACACTAGCTAGTTGTTGAAGATTAACCAATAGATCCGAATAATACTTGAATTAGATGGAAGATATAGAATGGGATATATTGAATAGAATATCAGTGGCTAGGGGGCGGAGTACCCCCGGGTGAGTTTTATTATTTAACAATTATCAATTTTATCCAGATTATTAAATGTTTTTTTGTTATTTTCATGTACAATGAGAGTCTGCTTGCCAATGACCAACTAACTGGATATTTGAAGTGAATTTGCATTTTGAGACCCGGTTGAGTAAGCCCCAGAAATAAGCGATTTTACAAGTAGTAGAATAAATAACAAATAACATAAAATAAGCTCAGTAAAGACTGACAAATCCACAAAATTTCAAATAAAATTCAAATGCGTCAAACGAATAGTCAAACAGAACTGTCAAGGATCCCCACCCTAGAGTCCTCTTTCCGTCGACCATGCATGAATACATGGAAAGCATTATAAACCTTCCTTAATCTTTTTTATTCAAAGGACCCATCACATAAACATAAAAAAAATAATTTTACTTACCACAATTTGAGCATCTTTGTCAATTTTGTCATTCCACTTCTCGTGTATGGACTCATGGCTGTCGATACTAAACTGCAAAGATTTCCTTCCATCTATAACAATTTCCTTTTCTTCATCCACGGGACTGTTTGAGTCAAAAAGGATGGTGGAATCAAAGTCGATACTTGTACGTGACTCGCCTTCTGGTTCGATACCCAGGTAACTCATATGCTAAAAAAGTTATTCATATTTATTTATTTACATTCGAAAAAGGGAGCCTACAGTTATTTGTTTATGTAGTTTTTCAATAGATATTTACGATACAAGTGAGTTAACAGCATCATTAAGATACGCATGTGAAAGTTGCACAACGAGTGCGTAGCACGAGTTTTGTTCTCTTTGGTAGTCATCTAAACAAGGAGTGCGGTAATAAAAATGCGTGAGTTAAGGGCTTCTTAACTCACTGACGTAGATAAACATTTTTAAAAACGTAAAAGTCAAGTACTCTAGCAAAATTTAAATACACTCTTTTAATATTTTAACAAATAGAAATACATTTCACTTTATGTCTTAACACTCTAAATATAAATAATATAATTAACAAAAAATTATAAAACTAAAGTTTAGAGAAAATGCGTATCATACACCAATATATTAAAAATTAAAATTTACATTTAGTAATTTACAGTATCACAATCACAAAATTGGTCCCGTATGCATAACAAAATATAATTAATTACAGATTTTGAAAATGACAGTTTAATAATTTATTTTAGAAACAAGGTTTAAAATATTCACGGTTGAATTTATGATAATTGTTTCAAAGTTTTCCGGCTGAAAATTGGGTTAAAATATTATTTATTTATCAAATATATGTATACGTAACTATAACATATTTGTTTATACAGGGTGTTCTATTATTCCGGACATAAAACTACTAGGGATTTTTAGAATTAAAATAATATGCTTCGTTTGTCCGTTAGAGTGTTAGAGAGTAGATAATTATTTTTTAAGATAATCTAAGAGCCCATATTAAGATTTTAATTAAGCTTTATTCAGAAACTCGCAATTAGTGTAATAAATTATTACTTACTTTTTAGTTTACGATCATTCACAATGTTTAAAAAAAACACAATTAAAATTAATAGAATATCCTAGCAACAACTTGCGTTAGTCAGTTGTATCCATAAAGAAAGCCGAATATTTAGCTTTAAACAACCAACTTTTGATTTCCAACCACAATTTCTCTTGACGGAAGATAATCAAAGGCCAAAATAACATTTCTCGCAAATTTTGAAGCATAATTAATGGAAAAGTTAAAAGTTTGATAACTTTTTCTACTAATTGAAAATGTCTACCACTAATTTTGACGTTCTGAATACTTACATTCAAATTAGAGGAACAAACTTGTACGCTAATTGAAACCACTAATTTATTTCACTAATTGCGAACTCCTGAATGAAGCTTTATGTTTAACTAGGCATTCAGCAAAAAAACTAGAAATGGTACTAGATAGGGTAGATCATCCCTACATAAATTCTAACAGTTTGCATAGTTTTTGAAAAAAAAAAGATTTTTCAAACCTGACCCACAAAAAATATTTCTACCTTATTTTAGCTCTTAATCTCAGTGTCACAAATACGCCGTTTTTTTTTGATCATATTATACAATACGATAGAAAAAATCTCGAATAGTGGTAGTAGTTAAGTACTTACCACTAAACTTAGAGGAACTTTGGGTAGCGATGACACTGTTGGTGATGGAGGTGAAGGAGGTCTTAACTCGTTAGCTTTGATCGCTTGCTGTAGTTGTTCATACTTGGGACCTCGAAGGTAGCGTTCAAACTTTATTTTCACCATGACTCCGGTGCTTTTGAGCAACTCGACAGCTTGGTGATTGGTGTAACCTATCACCGATTGATCGTTTACCTTCAAAACGGAGAAAAGTTTTAACCATAAAATATTTTTCAAACTATAATATTTCGGTATAAATACCATTATGTATAGGGTGTCTAAAATAAGTGCAAGTATTTCAACCCCAAAAATACGCCAATGTTTTTTTTGCAATTGTTGAAAATTTGCTGACATTTTCCAGGAAATTACATTACAATACAAAATATCTTTATTACATAAACGATCCTATTCAAATTGAAATGTTAAAGATGGCGACGTTCGCATTTTGTCCTCTATCTCACGTAAAGAACTCATATAACTCAACTCGTTTTTTAGATTTTTGAATTACGCCACTTGAGACTTTCCTACAGGCAAAACTTTTATCTCAAGAAGTGCTATAACTCTATCTATCATGGTATAGAGGCAGTGATAGTATTTGTATTCGATGTATCTTACAATAATTACAATTTTAATACAGAAAATTATTTTATTTTGTTCTGTTCTGACAAATTTACTAAAATGCAAATTAGTCCAATAGGTGAGGTAACAAAAAACGTATTTTCAAGAAAAGAAGTAGAAAACAAATATGAATAATTCAAGAACTATAAAAATAAAATTATTGAACTACATTGTTCAACAATTACTTACAAAAGATATAAAAATCAAAAAAGTGAAAAAAAAGTGTGTGAACAATATGTAATATTGAATACATATAATTGAAGTAAACTTCTTACTAACAGCTATTAAATTGAAGAATTTGAAAAAATATATATTTTTTTATGAATAATTTTTATAAACTTCCAAAAAATTAGAGTTAATTTAAAACCGTATACTATTCTAGCTTTATAATTTTATGTTTTTTTTTAATTTTTATTAAAAACGATAATTCTATCACCCGACCGGCTAGCCCCGACAGCTGTGGCCATTAAACCAAAATACTGCTACATCTATATCTCAGACTACTACTAACTGCTACTAACCAACGATTTGTTTTGTGTGATCTGTAGTCTGTTTTTGTTTAAATGTTTTGTTCATTATTCATGTTGGGAATTTATTGTTAAATTAATGTTAATCGTTAGGCAACCAGTAAACTCATAGAATATGTATGTATTCTTTTGCATAATCAAAATTGTCACTCTCAATTTTATATAACAAAATTGCCACTATAAATCGCTATCTTCTTTAGACAGATGTCACTTGTTTTGTTATTATTCAATTTATTATTCGAATTCTCAGAAGGTTGTTAACAAAAGTTTCATCCAAACCAAATAAAATTTTAATTAATCACAATTGTTTATCTCCATCATTTACCGGATTAATAATACAGAAATTACAAACAATTAATTATTTGTAGTGATTTACAGTAATTTTATTAAATTATACGAATATTCTGGTTGATTATTGGTATGAAATAAATATGAATGTTCTCCAAACATTGATCATTATGTTTATAAACATTAGTTTTTCTACACACTACGCTGCAACTAATACATATTATACAACGCTGCAACTAATACATCAACAAGTACATATCCAACGACACAAAACAAAAAATATTTTTTTTTAATTTACTAAACTAATTTCTACATTGTTATTTCGAGCTCGATCAAACAGTGACTAAATGTGTGTGACTTAATATTTTATAAAGGAAATGTCCTTGTATTCCAATGTCATACGATGATAAGGCCTTTTTGTGCAGAGGATGTTTTTTTTGCTAATATGACTATTTGTCAAAGTCAAGATTTGCTTCATTATAAAATATTTTAGTCGTATGTATGGAAATACTTTAAAGTAATTCTTTATTGTTAATACATAACAATAAATATATGTTTCAAAAAAAAATCAATCAGAAACGAATTTCTAACTTGCAGATTGCAGATGAGTTTCAAAATGTATGAAACAAGTTCTGTATTTTTTATTGCTGATATTTTTTGTTTTGTTTATTAAAAAAACTTCCCCTTAAACCAGATGTTCTAGCTTTTCTGAATAATCTTTTTTCGGTAGATACATTTAAACTTTTAGAAGAAAAATACTTGATACTTGCCCCACAATTAATACAATAATTAAAAACAACCACTTTTTAAAAATATAAACAAGGATAGTTTTATACAGGTTTTTAACTCGACAGTTACTTATAGGGGAACCGAATGGCAACACTGCCTATTGAGAACGCATGCATTATTGATTTTTCTGCTGACTCGTCCCGTCGCGTCGTCTATCGACGAGCGGGCCGAGGTTGCCATATTTCAACCATAAGCTCTTGCCGCGAGTAATGAACAAATTAACAACCTGTATATTCTTATGCAAGGATAATGATAACGCTTAGGTTACAAGAACGATTCCTACTACTGATATTGCTCTTGAGAGATATCATATCGAACCATTATTTTGAACTCTTTACATAAACTTTACTTTACGTGATAGCATCTGTTGTTATCAATAATTGTTTGTCAAGAAACAATTAATCGGAAAATTAAATTTTATAAGTGCATGGTAATCCTGGTAAGAGGTTTCTTATTTACATGTCTGTGATTATGAAATGTGTAGAAATCTCAGAGAAATAAGCTAAGCGAGAGGAGTTAAAATATTTGATAATACATTTTTTATTTCTATTACATTATTTGATAATACGGATTAAGCTCAATTTTTATGCATCTGTTGTCCGACGATACGATATTAATTTTTTAGGGTTCAGAACCTGGAATTCCCGGTTCTTACAATTAATCAATAATACATGTCTAAATGGATAACCTCCCGTTCTTTTATTATATCTTGTAATATGGTTCATCAATTATTCATCAAAAAACATTTTGCATTTGATTGACTATTTATTTTTCTATCCGAAGAAGATGTAAATCTTGAAAACGCTCTTTTTTAATCAAGTCCCATATCTAAGCGTTTCTGGACTCGACCATAAATTTTAAATACATGAATGCAAAACGTATGGAACTTTTCTTCATTTAGTTTTAAAATATTCACCCCTGGCATGAAAATATCGTGGAAAATGTGTTTTTTTTTCGTCCAAACGAAGACAGGAGAAAATTAAGTAAACAATTTGGGAGGAAAACCTTATTTTTCACAAAAAAAACTGTTTACCAAGTAAATAAACATGAACTTTTTTTAAAAGGACGAATTTCCTTTGTGCGTCTTCTCGAACTAATCTCTTATTAAAATACGTCTTTTCCAGAACGGTGGATATGACAAGCCCTCATTTTTTTTAACAAAATTGATCATCTAAAAAAATATTATTTTAAATATAATTTCAGAGAGGTCTACCAAACGCAAAAAGTTATTTTTTAAAAATTTTAAAAAATTATATTAAAAATGTAATCTCGTCATTACATGCCACGATAATTCAGTTGGGAGTCTATTACAGTTATTAACAAAAATAGCAGGTTAGTCGTGACTGACTAAGTTAAGAAAAAAACTCAAAATTTAAGTGAGGATGCAGTCAATAATCACCACATAATAGGTTAATAAAACTACTTTTTCAAATTTGTCAAGCTTTCGAGAATTTTATTCCCATCATCAGGACAGTTTGACTGAGTCAATTAGCAAAAAACATCCTCTGCACAAAAAGGTCTCAAAAACTAGCATCGTATGACATTGGAATACAAGGACATTTCCTTTATGAAATATTAAAATACATATCCAACGACATTACTTTTCTTTTGAACACAAAACAAAAAATATTTGTTTTTTAATTTACTAAACTAATTTCTACATTGTTATTTCGAGCTCGATCAAACAGTGACTAAATGTGTGTGACTTAATATTTTATAAAGGAAATGTCCTTGTATTCCAATGTCATACGATGATAAGGCCTTTTTGTGCAGAGGATGTTTTTTTGCTAATTGACTCAGTCAAACTGTCCTGATGATGGGAATAAAATTCTCGAAAGCTTGACAAATTTGAAAAAGTAGTTTTATTAGCTTAATTTTGAGTTTTTTTGTTATTAACAAATGTAGATTTTATAAATTCTCTATATAAATAATAAAAAATGAAAAATATAATTACAAAAGTTTAATATTAAAGATTTTGATTATGATAAAAAATATACAGGGTCGCTTTTATGTATGGAAACGGTCGATTATTAGGTAAAATATAGGAGGTACCACAAAAAGTTAAATACAAAAATTATAGGATATTTAAATATCTACTAGCGAGTAATAAATTTAAGTATACAGGGTCGGTCATAAAATCGTGGCACATCAAAATTTCATTTTTTTAAATAGAACCCTCTGTATATTATCGCATATTTCAATGTTTCCTTCAATTCTAACCAAAAATCGAAATACAGACAATGTACCTCAAACCAATCGTTTCCGAGTTATTGACTTTTGAACATATCACTTAAACAATTTGATTTAATTAATTTCGATATGTTCAGTTTCATTTAATGATGCCATTCTGCCGAAACTGAAAATTTTGTTTCAGATTTCCAGACTTGATATAATCTTATTTAATAAATATATATTATAAGTATCACAGTTTCGGCAGAAGTTAAAGTTACAAAAGTTACAGAATTTAAAAATTCTATAACTTTTGTATTTAACTTTTTGCGGTACCTCCTATATTTTACCTTAATAATCGACCATTTCCATACATAAAACCGACCCTGTATAGGTCATCTACGGTTATAATATAGGCTTACAAATAATTAAAGCTTACCTCTATAATTCTGTCGTTTACTTTGATAGACTTCTTGGCATCTGCTGCACTGCCTTTGCTGATACTTTTCACGAAGATTCCTGATATTTCTTCTAAAATTGACACAAAACAAAAGTTAAAAAATACTGCAAATATTTATTTCGAACTTTTCCATATCTTATTTTTTTCAGATTTTTATTAGCATTATTTATTTTTTTCATTTTATTTTTATTAGCTTTATTATAGAGGTATATAATAAAATTATATAAGGGTTCTTGCCACTTAACTGCTAATACAGAAATTTAATTCTACGCTGTGTCACAGCGTAGAAAATTGTGTGTACACAGCGTAGAATTAAATTTCTATATTAGCAGTTAAGTGGGAGGACCCTTATATAATTTTATTATATACCTCTACTGCAAGAAATTTGTTTCCTGTATATTAGGTTACTACTGGATATCTAATTGGCCTTACTAAATATACTACAAGGCGTCTCGCCAATACAATTACTCATTGCAATTTTTAAAAAGGTTGTCTAAAAAAATGTTTCCTCCTTAGTTCTATTTTATGCATATTATTTAGATATACAGTTTTAAATTATTTTACTAATTAATCTTCAGTAAATATTTATCAGATAATATTATATACATTTCCAGAAAATAACCCTACAAAAAATATTTCAAGGTAAATTATACAGACAAAGCATTCTGTCTGTTATACTTTATCATTAATATTTTAAGTCCATATATTATTTAACAAGTATAATGGACATAGAGCTGAAAATAACACAAAAACAGCAAGATCATTACGTATTACGTACCTTTCTCGCAAACGTAACCTGCCACTGTAATTCCCAGTCCTAGGTCGTCCTTTTTCAGCTCGATGATGAATATCTCTGTTTCAGGGGACTCGGAATCCTAGCAAGAGGAATGTTAATATTTTAAAAAAATTCGATACATTAGATATCGATATTTTAGTATCGATTTATAAGAAAATATCTCAATATTTTAAATATCTTGATTTAAAAAAAATATTTCGTTATTAGAGCACGAATCCACTTGTGTCTGACAGTGGTGTTCAAATTTTGTTTAGTGTTCTTTTTAGTGATTTAATTTAGTGTTCTGATTGGTGTCAGCCACCTGTACGGTTGGGTCTTAGACTTGCACATCGGAGCTTTACCAAAGAAACTAAGCGCTGCCTGTTTTGCGCTAGATTTTTTTTTTTTTAGAATGAGTGGGAGGGGGGTTAATCACTTCGACCTTACAGATCCATTGTGTCCCCCTTTCTTGAATCATAACTCATCATACAGTCCCAGGGCTTTGACAAAAGCCAGTATCTGGGACGGTTTTATAGAGGGTAGTTCTCCATCTCCAATATCAGTCGTACCAAAATTCATGGCACGAATGGTTGTCGTCTCGGCGCACTCAGTGATGAGGTGTACCATCTTCCCCACAGAATCTGCATTCGCCGTTTCTTCTTAGTTTCAATCTACTGAGGTGTTCATTGAGGAGACAGTGTCCTGTTAAAAACCCCTTGACAATCCGAAGATTGTTCTTACTCAGACCCAGGAAGATCTGTGATTTTTCTTGATCATAAGCCCTCAGAAACTTCTTCGAGTGTCTTAGACCATTGCAAGATGTTTTGCGCTAAGATCAGTTTCTAAGAAATTTAACTTATGAACCTCTAGTCTATTATGCCCTTTTTGAGTCGCATCTTTATTATGCCCTTCCATTGTGGGGTACTTGCTGCGCGACAAAATTTGATCGTATTTTCAAACGTCAAAAGAGAGCAGTTCGATATTTATTAGGACTGAACAGTAGAACTTACTACCAGAATTTTTTTAAAAATTTCAAAATATTGACTCTTCCTTTTTTATTCATTTTTGAATCCGTTTGTTTAATCCGCAAGCACATATCTGCTATTCCTGAAAGGCCACCTCACAACTATCCACTTAGGAATGCGGCGCACGATCTTTATCTGCTAACCCCGAGCTCAGAACTAGTTATAGGTTCAATATTGTACAATGCCAAAAAAATGTACATACATCATGTGCCTTTGAATATCAAGTCGCCTTTCATTCTTTCCCGGATTTTGCAAAGCTCTGATATTATCATACTTACTGGAGAGAGCCCTATATGCGGTAAACGATTTTTTTGTTGATGTTTAATCTTGAACAATTTTGAATTTTAAAATTTTTATCATCTCACACACTGGTTCTGGATCTAGTATTTAATATTTTATAGCTCTTGAATGATTATATCCATTTACAATTTTCCTATTGTAAGATTTTATTGATATGTCTTTTTTGTGTTCTGCAATGTATGTTCTATTTGCAATTTTAATGATGTAAATTTTTTTTAAATTGTGTGATATTTTTTATTATTAGTATATTTTTTGTGCTTTTGTTTGTTTTATAAATGCTTTGTCGATGAAGCTATTTTGGCTTTTTGTACAATAAAGCGTTATTTATTATTATTATTATTTTCAATGAGCTTGCTTGATAAACCACCGGTGCCGGACACTGATGTCGGACACAAGTGACTGTGAGAAGGAAACTGAATATTTAAAAAAATTAATAATTAAAAAATAACATTTAGGTATCCCGTTATAATTCACTCCTCGATAATGAATTTGAAATATTTTTTATAAATTATTTTCAGTTTTCATGAAACTTTGGACTGTAAAAAAGAACCTGTGTCCTGGAATATTATACTGATTCTTGATATGACACAATATAGTTTCTTACAGTGCATACAAAAAAAGGTGGACATCTATCAAAATTTATCCGGAAAATATTATCTCGAAATAAATCGATATTTTGATATAAATAATTAATAAATAATATTTTCTTGCCTTTAGCTGTGTATTTTTTCTAATTTCGAAAAATCGAAAGTAGAGAAAAAAAAGAAAAAGAAAATTGTTTTGCTTGTCGTAAAGGGGGGAACCAAGCTCCACTCCCACAACCGGTTTCTGGGCCTACCCTTCATCAGGTGGGCTGCCCAGGGGCTGGTTCTCACCGATACGGCAAGCAAAATTTTTTCAATATCAACAGACAATGTCGTAAAGTGTCGGTGAGATATTAGTGCATCTCCCGTTAAAAGATGGTAAAGAGCGTTTTTCGGCCCGCTCAAATATATATGAAATGAACAAAATTCTTACAGCTTTAGTGTATATTAATAAATAATATTTTCTTGCCTTTAGCTGTGTATTTTTTCTAATTTCGAAAAATCGAAAGTAGAGGAAAAAAAATAAAAAGAAAAACAATATTGTTTTGCTTGTCGTAAAGGGGGGAACCATTTCATATATTTTGATATATCGATAGATTTAATACATCCCTACCTTTTCGCCGTTCTGCTGGCTGCTGGCTTGTGGCAATAGCGGTGGAGGGGGGCAGATTTCTGGGACAACAGGAACATTGCCGATGGGCAAGGGATCACGGACAACGTCGACGATATCAGAGATATTCTGGCAAAAAAAACAATGAATTGTTAAAATAAAATTTAGTTAATGTAACAAACATTTCTTTTATTATTTTTTTTTAATAATTCAATTTTGTTTTGTTCTGAGCTATTTCCAAAACGTGGCGGTATCTGTACCGGAAGCAAAGGATTTTTTTTTCATACATCTCAGTGAAATAAGTAAACCTAGACGTTCCTAAAATAGCTGTTGTTACGATGATATTTCGTTAATTACATCTCGTTTTATATTATATTGATATATATCTTCCACAGAGTTAATATTTGAACATGCGTTTATTATATGTACAGGGTGTCCCATTTTAGTTAAAATCATACGGTATCTCCGTTATTCGTGAAGATAGAAGGGTGCGGTTTGCACATACCTGTGCCACTTTTTTGTCAAATGGAAGATGCCGTAAACAAAATTTTCATTGCCCTCTTCGTTTCTGAGCTACAGGGTCTTTTTGAAAATGTTGCAATTTGGAACACCCGCCCTATCTCTGTTATTGTTAAAGATATTGAGACGGTGAAAACTGTTTATTGTAGAACTTTTTACGTAGAATACAGTGGTGTAGTGTGTTATTCTACGAAAATAATATTTTTAAAAATATGAACTAAAGTTATGTTTTATTAAATGGAACACCCTGTATATTTATGAATTATATGATCTGGCTTGTTATAAGCTTCTCAAAAATATATAACACTCTATATTTGTTTTCATGATTTAAGGCAATATTTAAAAAAAAACATATTAAAAGATCATTTTTTAGTAGGCCATGATTGATAATAAAAGAAACTAAAGAATTATTAAGAGTAATACTGCTATCTGTCACTTGTTTTATTTTGAGAGCCACTAATTAATTCTTTGTGTATTAGGGAAACTTAAATCTCTACCGCTCTTTGTAAATCTTGGAAGCTATCGTATCGGAACTTTTAAATATTCCTTTAGCTAATTTACGTGAAATATACTTTCAGCAAGATGGGGCTCCCCCTCACAACTTAACTTACAACGAAAATATTAGAATTTTGTTAAATTATTATTTCTCAAATCAATGAATTGGAACCAATGTACCCATATGATGGCCTCCCTGATTCCCGGATTTGTCTGTTCTCGATCTCTGATTTTTTGGGGATATTTGAAATATGAAATATATCGTGGCAACTAATACGATGTTGAACACCTGAAAAATGCTTCAATAATGCAAGCTTTTAAATATTTGCAAACCCATCCCATTATAATAAATTCCGTTATAAAAAGGAGAAAAATATATTTAGAGGTTCAGTGGTAACAGTTCAAAAGTAAAATATATCAATTCCAAATAAAATTTTAATATGTGCATGTCTATTTTAGTAAATACCATTTTAATTTTGTTATTTATCACGGCCTACTAATAAGAAAATGATATATTTTAAATATTGCAGTAAATAGTGAAAATAAATATAGAGTGACATATATATTTGAGAAGCTCATATCAAACCTGATCACATGATTTATAAATATACAGGGTGTTCCATTTGAAAAAACATAACTTTAGTTCATATTTTCAAAAATATTTTTTTCTACGTAAAAAGTTCTACAAGAACCAGTTTTCACCATTTCGATATCATACATAATAACGGAGATACGGGGGCGGTCCCAAATTGCAAAATTTTCGAAAAGACCCTGTAGCTCAGAAACGAAAAGGGTTATAAAAATTTTGTTGACAGCATCTTCCATTTGACAAAAAAGTGGCACAGGTTTGTAAAAACCGCACCCTTCTATCTTCACGAATAACGGAGATACCGTATGATTTCAACCAAAATGGGACACCTGGTAGAGTAGATATTTAGGAACAAAACTTTTCACTTAAACTGCAGGAATATAATTACAATATTTTTATGATTTAATTTTATTATAATGAATTAGTATATAAAAGTGTATATGATATGTTTGTTTAGGCTTTAATTGATTATATAAGAGTAGTATTGCTTCATGAGTAATACTGGTAACATTATCAATATATCCGCTTGCGAAAATTATTAATTGACCCGATGTTAACAAAAGTATGGTCCACCGATATTATTTAAAAGCAATGTTCTTTTATTGTTCTTAAGAGAAATCTGTAAAACATAGTTTGATATAAATCCATTCAACTAGTACTTATTATGCAGGGTTTTAGACAATTAAAACTAAGACGACAAAACCAAATTCGTAAACTAAACTTTGCTACAGACTACAGTATAAATGTTACTTCACCATAATCAGAAATAATAAATAATTAGACAATTTTTTAAATAATATTGTGTATATTTTGTTCAAGAGGCGCAATACCGTGGATTATAAGCCGTGGATTATTGGCTAATAGCCCATTTAATTTACCATCGGTAACTGTTTTCATATCACTTTTTCCATGTTCACTTATTTTTCTGAAACCACCTCAACGTTTGACCTTGATTGCCTCGTGCGGTTTCACAAAATAGTATGATAAATATAAGCCCGTGTCTTGAAAATTAGTTCCCACGCTTCCTGAAATTGATCGAGACGCGCCGTGATTGGTTGTTTGTTTTTTATTGTTAATCTGGGTTAACAACATAAAAATAAACGATAATAAATAAGCCGAAAAGTTCTGATTTCTGCCGTACCGAACGCTGCTGTCGAAATTTTAAAATTCGACTGAAATACACCCAGTCTATACTAAAAATGTAGAGTTGTAGAATGTAGAATGTTTAGGAGGGAAGTTAATCACCGCGACCTTATAGATCTATTGTGTGTTCCCCTTTCTTGAGTTATAACGAGTTATAACTCATCATACAGTCTCAGGGCTTTAAGAAAAGCCAGTATCTGAGACGGCTCCACAGAGGTAATTATTTTGGTGTTTAAGTGACTAAACTACTACCAGATATATGGTAACTCTCGGTTTCGCATAAAAAAATAGAAAAATTGAAAAATTACACGTTGTGTAAGTGATTTAACCTAAAAGTGCCCATACATTTTTTACTTATCGTGATTTTTGTGTGTGTTTTTTAAGACTCTAACAATTCATCAATAAAGCTTAAGTGGAGTGTGTTTTTGGTGCTATGCTTCATCTTTGTTGTGTTCCTGGTGGAAAGGATAGTTATATTAGGCAGCCTAAAGTGTCCGGAAGAGCAAGAAAAGTGGGTACGAATTATAAATCAAGAGAATTCTATTGAAAATATCTTTAATAAATTTAAAAATAATATTCTCCCATGATGGTATTAATGAAAACTAGACAACTATGTTTATTTTATTCATATTGTGGAATCTCCACTCCAAGTGTTGTTGGTTCAGCTTCGATAGATTCAAACACGTAAGTAGGTATTATGATCTAGGGAAAAATAAAGAATATGTGTATTAAAGATCATGAAAAAGATTATTATTTTGAGTTCAAATTTTAAAAAAGATTTTTGTAAAGACAAGACTGATACAGTTTAAAAGAAGAATGTGTTTTTGTTTGATAATATATAATGTATGTATTATTTATAATACCAAATTAATATCAAATATTTAAGTGATGGCTGAATACAATATGAATAAAATAACAATAAAATTGGTATATTTGCATAATACAAAATTAAGTTTTAAGAATAAAGGTGTTACTAAAAATACTAAGAAATTCATATTTATTTGTTTTAATTGGTCTAATGTTATTTACATTTTATGTAAGAATTATACCGTATCATCGAAAAAAATCGGCGTCTAGTTGGCTTGGAAATGAACATCGATGACATGCCCTAAATAACTGTACACATAAAATAATTAACTAGAATTTTACAATCTTGGAAAATTTGATATTCTTGAATCTTGTTTCTAAATATACTAAATTTTTTGATTTTCTTGGGATTTAGGTTCGGGAAAAACGCTGATTAAGTTTTCATTTGGTTTTTCATTATTTTTATTTGGTTTAAAAAAAAAACGGTTCGGCTAACATTATAGCCTTCATCAGTGTTGTGTCATATGAAAAAAATAGTGTCGAATATAATCCAAAAAATTACATATAAAATATTCATACCACGCACATAATGTTTACTGCGTACTGCGTACTCCATAGTCAATGTAGATAATTTTAGTGTTAAGAATAATAATTTTAAAAAATATGTGGTCATGTTTTGATTAGTTTATATTAGTTTATTAATTGCAGTAAATATTATGAGGTGTGAATTATATTGTATATGTAATTTTTTGGATTATATTCGACACTATTTTTCTCATATGACACAACACTGATGAAGGCTATAGTTAGCCGAAACGTTTTTTTAAACCAAATAAAAATAATGAAAACCCAAATGAAAACTTAAATCAGCGTTTTTCCCGAACCTAAAAATCCCAAGAAAATCAAAAATTTTAGAATAATTTTACATATAAAATGCCAGCGATCTTCATTTCATAGCCATCGCTGACGCCTTTTTTAGATAATATTGTATTATTTGTAAATATAATTTTTCGAAGATTGATACTTGCAAGATATACATATAAATTTTGTGAATGCAAATAATAATACATCACTATTATTAGATATTGAATGTTTTTTGTTAAATTAGATCGATTTTCAAACCCCAAAATTTAAAATATATTTACATTTTACCCATTATGTTATGTACCTATACACTATTTGTACATCGTAAAACATTTGCTGCATTTGTATGGTTCATAGTTTATTTGCCAAAGTATTTATTACTATAAATAGGTATATATGTTGGAGTTATTAACTGTATATTATGTATATTTCATGTAAACTATATCATTTTTAAAATACAAATCAAAAATCTGAGGAATAATTATGTTTTCCATGTATTCTACAACATATTTATTAATCCGTGATATCTAACTAGCGTGACGTCATAAATCTCGCCCGCAGGCTGATCTTTTAATAGAAGGCACTGCCCAGCCTATACTAAAAATGTAGGGTTATTAATATTAATACTGTATTATAAATAGGTTATTAGGCTATCAATAAAATATTTCAAAAATGCTATTGTTCTAAAGCTCCAATTAATTTAAAATATAGC